GTCTAGAGACAAAAAGGCTCACTGGTGATCTCATTGCTCTCTGTAACTACCTGGAAGGAGGTTGTTGTGAGGTGGGGGTCAGTCTCTTCCAGGTAATAAGTGACAGGAAGAGAGGAAAAGTTGTGCCAAGGAAAGGGATTAGTTATTTTAAAAAATTTCTTGATGAATAGGATTGTCAAGCACTCTAACAAGCTTCCTGGGGAATTGATGGAATGACCATGCCTGAAGTGTTCAAAAGGCATGTGGACGTGGCTCTTGGGGCCAGTGGTGAACACAGTGGTGCTTTTTCAACCTCAGTGATTCTATGATTTTATGATTGTAAGTTGCTTTTTAATAAATAGGCAACAGGTCCATCAGGATGGCAGGCAAGAGCCCCCTCTAAGTACAATCTATCTTTCCTCTATCAAAACCAGAATTCATGTCACTCCAGCAGGGAGGTGTTTTCTTTTATTTTTGCATCATTAAAATTAACTGTAGAGCTGGGCTATATTTTTCATCCAGAACAATTTGCACTATGTCATTTTCTTGTTTAGTTTAAACAACTGGCAGCAATAAAACAAGAGCAGGTGAACATGTTACTATGGTTCCTGTTTGTAGTGCAGAATAACAGACACAGAAGAAGAGCACAGAGACAGGAAGTTCACACTTTTGGCCAAGAAGATCTATATTTTAATTCAGATTTTGGTATTTGTCAAGTTTTTCCTTCTGATCATCCTTTGTTGGATGTGCAAATTAAATTATGTGATTCTATCTGCAATAATGTTTTTTGTTTTCCTTTTTCTAAGTGTTTTCTATCTAAATACTGAAAGAAGAGCATTCCAAATTCATGGGATGCAGCAGATACAACCTCTTCAAACTAGAAATTAATTCAAATTGGAAATGAAAAATATGTCTGGCTCGTGGTTTTGACTGCTACCTGTGATACAGAGAGAAGAAAAGCACCAAGTGCTCTTACAGTTGCTAATTTATCATTAACATAGTTTGTGTCTGCTTTTGGTCAGATATTCTTTAAAACAATGTTTTCACGGTACCAGATTTATTTTCTCATGAAGAGAAAGTTTACTATGTGACTATGGTTTGCCAGATTAATGCTTCCACTCCCCAGCTGCCTAGTCCCACCTATCCCAGGTAGGGCCACGAAAACACACCTGTCTCCACAGATAGTAAAAACAATTCCTTCACAATCTCTCCACCTGACAGGTTGTTTTTGGTATAAGAAGTACTGCAGGTGCTAGAAGAGCTTAGCAATGAGATCGGTAAATATAAAAATGAAGGGCCTGGTTTCCTCAGTCTGTCCAAAACGGACTTCACTGTAGCAGGTGTGCAATTCTTGGATGCATTTCATCTTCTGCAGCACATGCTTGGACTGAAATGCTGCAGCTGACAGAACTCAAGCCATGAATTTACCTTGTTTTTCCCTTTTCACACAAATTGTTACTAATTTCATCCAAGTCATCCACCTACTAAGAGATCACTCAAGCCAAAGGAAGGAAGCAAAATGAACTTTTTTTATTAACAAGAACTCATGCACACATAAGAAGACTTTGACTTTTGATACAATTTAGTTCAATTATATAATATAAATATACTAGCAAAATATAATATAAAAAACTGCCCCCTTCAATTGTAGCATACAACTTCTACCAGTAACCTTTGGTCTGAGGAGAGCAACAAAGTAAAGAAATCTCATTCTTTCTCAGTTCTGATAGCCAAGGATACATGAAAATTGCCTTTGTTATGGATACTGTTGTTTTTTTATTTTCCCTAGATGAGATATTGCAAGTCCTTTCTGCCCTTTACCCCAGATATTGATCCACCTTACCAGCTCTACCTCAGTCATATCAGACAGTCAGAGACATCCAGGAAGAAAAATTGTTATCTAAAGAAGTTTCTCACTTTCCTTGCTTTACTTCATTCTCTTTCTTACCAAGGAAAAGCAAAAACAAAAAGCATGCCTTTCTCCCTGATAAAAATTCACAGACATTTCAGCAAGGAGATAAAGTGGTCTGCTGCAGCACTTGCTGAGAACAAGCAGTGATCCAGCATTATTCTCTGTGAGAACTGACAACACAGTTCCAGATGGACTATCTGATCTCTAACTGTCTCTATAATAAAGACTATGTCAATATGTTGATAAAAGAGGACCAGATATATTTGCTTGTTAATACTCTTGAAGGTCACAGGCAAAGCTGAAATGATAAGCAAAAGAAATTTGACTCCTCTGCAAGCAGCTCTCAAGCATCTATTGGCTAAACTTACAGAGTGGCCCTGTCATCTCACTGTAGAACCTTTCATGGCCCTCTATTCCTCTGTTTCAGTGACTTTATGAGTAGCCATGCATGCGTATGAATGCAATTTTTCAAATAGTTTCTACACAAACATGATGAAATCAGCTGCTAAAGAATGTGAACAGTCTGGTTTTCTTCCCCAGCTTCCTAAGAGTCACACCATGAATTAAATCTCAGAACAGAAGGGCCAGTGTTTCTTTGCTTGTAAGATGGAGATTCTACCCAGAAATAAAATTCCTGTTGTCTCCACAGGTCCACAGGAGTACAGAAGCTGGCTGGCGTGACAAAATGTGCATTCAATTAAGTTAAAGACTGTTGATCAACTGTGCCTGGAAAATATTGCAAGCATAAAAAACACACTGGTAAATGTGCATTTTGGCAGGTGAACAGGAGATTGTGGATCTTCCATTCTTTGTCAGTTCTGTGCTGAGACCATAAAGGGCTGCCATACAGGATGCAAGGATGCATTAGAAACTTCACATATTTCCACAAATGTCTGTATCATGACCATGAAAAATTGGCTAACACCAAAGGGAATTAAAACCAAAATAGAGAGATAAGAGAAGATAAACTTGGGATCGGGGTAGAGACAATTATTTAATCTTTGAATTTCAATAAAAGAGACACTAGAACAACCTTTTTTCTATTTGCAATCTTTAGGGAAAACAAAGGGTAGTTCTTTAAACCATCATTACTCATATTCTTACTGTTTCACTAGGGTAACAGAAGTATAAACTATACAGGGTGGGTGAAAGGGAATTCTTGCAGCAAGAAGAGTAGCAAGGGATCTTTCAGTTTGATACAAGGCAATAAAAATCCTCACTATGAGGATGAACAGCTCAAATGGAAATGCTCAACAAAGCAAAGAAGTCTATCTTTATTTTGGCCTTGAGTTGGGATGACTCTTCAAATGTCTTGCAGAGGTCCTTTCCAACCTCAGTTTGTCTATTATATTTGTGGGGACTGACAGCAGACAGACGTATATATAGGAAGATCACTAAAGCCAATTAAATTAGGAAGAAATCTCAGAAAAAACAACATGTTTAAGCCACATTAATCTTGCTGTAAAATAAAAAGCTCATTTTGGAGAAACTACTTCATCTGAGAATTGGAAAAACTCTCCATTTTTTCTTCTCCAGTGTTCTAACATTCTATAGAGAAATATATTTTCTTCTAACTTAGTCTTTAATATAAAGGGAGAAAGGTATATTAAAAAAGTAAAAAACAATAAAATTGATTCAGTAACAAGTAAAAAACCAAAGGTTATACAACAACTTTACTTTGTATTTGAAGCTCTAGATACAGAAAGATAAGGACATTAGGAACTGAGATGTTGTATAACTGAGAAAAATTACTTTCCAAGTATTAACAGCATGAAGAAATCTGATGACTTCAAAGAAAACTAGCTCTTGAAAGAGACCAAAGGCCAAGCTGAGCTAAATTAGAGCCTACCACCATTTATCTAGTGATTCAGAAAATGCCTTCCCTGCAGATTAATTTCTCCAGCTGGAAGTATTTCTTTGAACATGACCATCAAAAATGTTGTCTGCCTGAATACAGAAATAGAAACAGCTGGTCACACTCTGGAAATTAAGGTCTTCAGGTTAGAGATTAATCTTAGAGTTGCCCTAAAATGCCTGTAGCAAAAATCCTACAGCTGATAAAAGAGTGGCATAATCATATCTGAGCCAATTTTCCTAGCCTGTGGAAGTACAGTGGGCAGATCAGGTCGAAGATGATGTTTCAGGTCCAAACGAGATTCAACTGAAAGGCTGTATCACCAACCCTATAAAGTCAACATTCATTCTGAGACTAATAATGAATGTCGCTTATGGCATTTATTCACACAGTGATAATTTTTGCCAAAACATACCCCTGGAACTGCAGTCAGACCTGTCTCAGAAAGTACTGCCTCCGACTTCAACAGAAAGAAGTAATGTGCAGACCAGGCTGATTCAGACCTTACTCATCATCACTAGGGAGCCAAGGAACTGATTCTGTGTGATTCCTATTCCTAGAACATTTAATAAGGTCTGGCTTGCTTTGAAGGGGCAGAAGAAGATGGGATGGATAATTACACTCTGTGAAAGTTTAACAACTTCATCTGTGCTTTGTTGTTATATCCACTTTTGCCCTTTGTACTTGCTGCAGTTAATTTTGTCCTGAGAGCAGAGATTTGTCTCCAGAGAAAATGCACATAGTCTAGAAGAAACCATTGGAAACGTATCTGTTAGGGATCCACCCATCATTTGGAAGAAGATTAAAAAGTGTAAAGGTAGCTTGCTTTAACTGATTAACTAGTAACTTTGCAGATGGTTAAGCTGAACAGTACTCAGGGCTGTGGTCATATATTTCTACTCTCTGGGATCATCTGATACACACACTTATACAAATAAAAATAATGAACCACCACAGCAGTACCTAACTTGATCTTCCCAGATGATTTTTAAACAACTGATTAGTGTGTATCAGAGAAGGAAATTATTTAAAACAAAATAAAAGCCCTCCACACTCTGCCTTTGATAATTTATTTTCCTGTGACCACAGTGTCTTTTCCTTGCACATGCCAGCTAGTGCTACTACCTCTAGGACCAACCGGAGGTTGAGAGTGGCAGAGTACAACCCAGCAAGAGAAAAGGCCATGAGCTGCCATCCCAAAGCCATTTAACCTAAGAGAAAAGAGTCTCATTTCACATAACGTGGGTTACTCACGGCTCAGCTTCGATGCTCTGGTCAGCAGCTATGTAGTTGGCAGGGATGTAGCCCGTGAGCTTGCGGCCAGGACAGACTGACCCCTCTGGCAGGAGGAGCTTGGCGTACCACCACCCCTCATTGGATGCACTCAGCACTTCCAGCCTGTCCCCAGCTCGGAAGCTCAAGTCGTCCTCAGTGCGAGCCTCATAGTCGAAGAGTGCCACAAAGTTGCAAATGTTTGCTAGATGCTGGCCAGGCAGTGGAGGTAAAGGTTTCTCTTTTATAACACTGTCTATGTCCTTCTGTCCTGCTTGGAGGTCAGGTTTTACCGCAGCAAGGTTGGCAAAGACCTGGCCTCCTTTATCATCCTCCTCACCGTTTCTCCTAAAGAATAAGCAGGGAAGGTAAGGCTTCAAACAGGAACAGTACTTCTGGCAGAAGTTTCCCATCCTGGTTCTTTGTTGCTTCCTCTGCTTCTGCTTTTCTTCTGCTTTTCCTGGTTGAAAGACCCTTAGACCAATTTTTGCACCATCCACATCTTAGCTTTTTGTGGATTTCTGCTTCCCTTTCTCCTTTGGCGCAAAATGCAACAACTCCTGGCACAGCTGGAAGCTCCTCTCTGGGTCCCACGGAGAGCTCATTACAGACGGCTCCCAATTAGGGAGTGAAACCTAAGCATTCAAGTGCCAGCAGACGTGTGGAGGGAATTTTTCACTTCCTCTTCAGAAAAGGAAAGCAACACAACAGCTGCGCTGGGCTGAGCTCTGAGAACAGCAAAGTGTGGAGCCTCTTCTATTACAGCAAAACAATAAAGCCAGAACATGTAAATAAGAGAGGCTTTTCAATTCCTTCTGCTTGGGATGGGTGTTTTCTTATCTCAGATGTGGTCTGGTCATATGATCAGTGGAGAATGTCTGTCTTGGCAATGATTAACCAAACTGACCTGCCTGCTTCCTCAGCAGTCTGACGTGGACAGCTTGAATGAATATTTCTTTTTGTTTCCTGGTTTGTACTGGTTTCGGTTCACAGTGCGAAGCCTTTGCTCACCTGAGACTGGCAGACACTCTCACCAGGACTGCACCTGTGGCTCCTGCCCTCACTCACACCCAAGCACATTCCCTGCCAAGTACCCACCCCTCAAACCAATCCTCTGGCTTTTTTAATTTTTATTTTTTTTATTCAGCTGGGATGGGCACCTTTTACAAGGAAAACCAAATATCTATAGCTTACAGTAATAAAGCCTTACATATTAAGGCAATCCTTATTCTGCATTTTAAGGAAACAAAGGCACTAGCCAAAAAGCATTTCTCTAGGTGTCTGGGTAATTAAATAAACCCTATATTAAAATAATGGCTGTTTTCCCGTCAGCATGTAAGCAATGAAATTGCATTGACCATTTCTAAAGCATCTCTCACCCAGGATACAGACCAAGCATGTGGCAAAGCAGGCTGAAGGGTTGGCTGCCATATCACAGCAGTGCAACCCAAGTTTTGTAACACCCGGAAATCACCACAGCCTGGGGGACACAGAATGGTTGGAGCAGGAGCAGGAAGCATAGAAGATATACTGATAGCCTATCTGCACACAACGGTGTTATTTCAGTATGAGACAAACTCTTACAGATCAGAGTCTATTTATTGAAATTAATCAAAGCTCACACACCGACCTATTACTTCCTGGTGATAAAAACATGAGTTCCATATTTTTCTTTTCTTTTTTTTTTTTCCCTCGGGAATTTGGTGCTGTTTTCCCAAACCAGTTACACATCTCTCAGTTCCATTTAAAGTTGCTGACTTCTGTGGTTTTACTTTACTAGAAGAAAACAATTAAATAACTGAAACCACATTCACTTGCTTTCATCTTGTCTATCATTCATTTGAATGAGACCAGTGCCAGAGGCAGAAAGCTACCAATGAACTAGGAACTGTGGGATGACTAAAAGATATTTCCATTGAAAGTGATAATGTTAATATCAGGTGCATCTCTGCCGAAGAGGAATGGGGAACTGCTTACACACAGTTCTGCAATGCTGCAGAAGAAATTAAATAAAGGAGGAAGTACCATACACATCAAGCCATCACTAAACCTTGTCATCTTCACAGTCTGATAAAAGAAGGTATGCTGACTTTGCAGATTATGATAATCTTATTCAGTTTCTGAAGCACCACTGGAAATGATTTTTCGACAGCAATTATTAACCACATAATAGTTAGAACACAGATACCCAAGAGATATTTACTTTTCCTTAGTGTGAATAACATTATCCAAAGGAAAGAAAAGCCTGTATTGATAAAAAACCTACCTTCATTAGTCTTCTTTAAAGAATTGTCTACATTTACTGAAAGTAGAGAATATTAGAAACTGTTACTAAGTAATCTGGCAATTTTCAGTTTGCATATTTGATTAACTTTTCCGGTAATATTTTTTGGTTCTGGCAACTTGAGCACTAATTTGGCAAAGCTTTGCAAACTCATTCACTGCCCAGAATAGTTTCATCATGAAAACAAAGCCATTTGCATCATCCAGAATCAAGATGTACAATGCACAACTATTTTCAGGATCAAGTCCCACATTTACACTCAGGAACCAAAATACAAACACATTAGAAATCACATGAGACCACTCAGATTTATACCTGTAGCTACAAAGGGGCTTAAGCCTACATATAGCCGTGTATATGACTACCTTGTCTCAAAGAGCTCCAGGCATTAAATTCATCTTCTCCCTCAATTTGTGTCCTTGCTTGGCTTTTTCTGGAAGTGGTCAATAACTATAAATCAGATTCTTTTCATCCTGATCTTCAGGATCAATTCTATGTATTAACCAAGTAGACTTTACCAAAAACCACTAAATTAATTAATCAGATTTAAAAGACTTCTCAAAAAGAGAGAAAATTGGAGTTGCTGAGAACCACTGAACAGATTTCCTATCCCAGGTAGGACAGGACAGTAAGTGAGCTGTGGTGGCCACACTGCAGCAGCTTCTGCAAGGGTCTTTCTTCCCATCCTGGTAACTTTATTGAGAATTCACTGCATTTCTGAAAATAAAGAAGTACTCTTAATGGTTTAGAGACTATATAATTTTATCACAGGCAAGAAAAGAAAATTAGCATGTAATAAAAATGTTCTCACTGGTTTTACACAAAAAAATAAAATCTGATAAATCCCATAATCCTGATTTTCATATTCACAGTTTGGAACAAATGAGGATAATCATGTATATTCAGGAGCTTTACAATATAAACTGTTGTCCAAGTCCTCTGCATTCATATTACATATAATTTAATAAAATAATCTTTGCTTTACCTATTCCTTGGCTTAATTTATTTCTTTTGTCTTGAATCCCACTATATTTCCCCTTTTTTGCAAAAGGAGGCCAAACAGTTCTGCATTACACTTTGGCCTTCTGTATCCTTATTTAATTTGTTTTGGAGTCTGAATATCAGAGCAGAAATTGTTCAAAAAATAAGCTACTGGAGGTAAAGTGACTGTAAAAGACTTAAACAGAGATATTGATTAATTTTATTGGCAAAAGTGCTTTAAGAAGGATGCAAGGGTCTCGCCTCATTCTTGCAGCCAGCACTAGCTAACAGAAAGATGAATTTATTATAACCAGAATGGCACATTTACAGTATGAATACTGAGATTTAGTATTCTGGTCCTATATTACAATAAAAAACACCAGACACTAATACTGCAAGTAATTTCTTAAAATATGCAACACCTTGAAACAAAGATTGATCATTTAAAAGCTGTCTGACAGGACTATATAAACTTAGACTTTAGAAAATAGAGCAAATCTATTCAATCAAACAGTACTTTCCCCCTTCAAGCAACGTAATTTCCCATTGTTTTTAACGTATATTTCCTTCTTATTTCCTTGTTCCTTAAAGTAAAGAGTGCACACTGATGTTATAGGTTTGAGGATGACAGATATCTGAAGTTCCTTTTTATATTCTATATATTAGCTATAAAGTCCAGTAGATGTAAGACTCTTGCAAGGAGCCTTACACCTGCTTAAAGGATGAATTTGAAGCCCTCTAAATCCATTAAATCAAATTCTAATTAACTTAGAGTCAATATCCCTTAGATGTTTTTCTACAAAACAATCATGTTTAAACATGGTGGTGAAACATATTTTTCTTAGTTGACTGAATGGACAGTGTTAACTTTACATCCTTTAGTAAACTTAGTACAAAACTAATCTGCAACACTGACATTAATTGAAGTGATCTTAAAATTAGGTCCTGCTTGCATGAATTAAGGTATCAGACTAAGTTGTATAAAATAAGTACAGATAAGATTTGAATTCACAATATTTCAAAAGCCTTGTTTTGATATAAGTTCTATTGATATAAGTTCCACGCTTTCACAAATTATTTTGTATGAGTTAGCATTACAGATATTTCCTACAATTATTGGTTTTTATGTGCTCCGTATGGAACAATTGGCATAAATGCATAAAAACTTGGGAGTTTCAGAAAAGGTGAACCCTCCTTCAACACATAAATATTCTGGTTCATATTTCAGACAAGGAGTAAACATCCCTGAGACTCAGTCTTCAGTACTGATGGTACATGGTGTTTGAAACCATTCCCCTAGTTCATGCAGAGAGGAATTGCAGTCTGAACAGTGCTCTGCTGGGGGGAAAAGAATATTCCAAGGCAATATCCATCAACAGTTTTGTTATGAAATATGAGTCAGTTGAAATTCGAAATTGAAAAAGAGAGTGGTTTTTCTTAATGAGATCACAACAGAAACAAACAGTTTTGTTCATAATTGTGTTGAATTCTGTAAAAGGAAAAAACTCCATGTAGGGAAATGGGAAATTAAGAATCGTAATTAAATAATCTACGACGCCTGTAGCATCACTTTCCATACTGTATAATATTTTTCAAGCTAGAGGCTATAATGCTGCATTTAATGTATGCTAGTTTAAATATTTGACATTATTACCTTGCTTAGAAAAACTTCATAATGCATTATGATAAAGCAAGTCAAACCTTTCAGCAAAGTAAAATATTCAAATAATGCGATCTTTAAAGAAGTTAGCAGAAAACCAAAAGCATAGTAATTTAAATTACTAACAATTTTTAAGTTGTGTGTTTTTTTAAAGGTAACAAACTGAAATAAAGCACCGTGATTTCTTTTACTACAGCTGTCTTTTCAGCTATATTTCTTTCCATTTGCAGATTAAAATGGAACACATTACTACAACTTTGTAGCTTTTTTAATATTCCTTTTAATCATTTTGTTTCTTTAATTTGCAAATTGCCATATTTTCCAGTGAAAATAAATTATGTGCGTAATTTTGCCCTTGACAAAATTGTTTACTCTTAACACTTAATCACTTTCCTGGTTTTGTCTATTATTTTAAACCATAAATCCACGAAGATCTAGAGTTATATTTGATTCTGCATTTTCCAACTTGAAATCTTTTTGCATTTGCAATGGGAAAATTCTAGCCATTTATTTCCATAAGGCTGATCCAGTAATCCATCTCTACCCTAGAAAACATTAAAAGCATACTTTCAAGTGCTTTGGTGATAAGGGTTGCTTATTTATTAACCAAATTTGGGCCTGAAACATGCTACATCTGACAACAAATTAACAGAGAGGAATAAGGTTCTGTCAAGGATTGACATAATAGAGACTTCCTCTATTTGTCCAAACAAACAGATCCCACTTTGCTCAAATTTAATGTGAGTTTTGCCATTATCTGCAATGGGACCTGACCTCAACCATTATTTTTCATTTCACTGTACATTATTCTAAATTATATACAGCCCACAGTGTTAAAAATTGTAACTTAATTTGCTTTCTATGAAGCAGCCTCTCTGAAAAAAACCAAAGAGCTGTAA